TTTGGTTTTTCTTTTTTTGCTTAAATGACTTTATTACGTATGTGATGCAGATCGATAATAGACTCAGGACCAGGGAAATTACTAGAAACAGAACTAGACGTTTGACCATGTCACTAGCATCTCGATTCACCAAACCTGTTGTGCCTGAACTCTCGCTGCTGTCTGAACCCGAACCTATGCAGTTAGGGGTTACAGGACTGTCTGAGGCAGTGAGTATAGGAGAAGAGAGGGTCTGTGCTTATATTGTGGCAAGAATGGGCATATGAGAGATGCTTGTCTTATACGTCCGGAAAACTTCCGCACCTAAGAACCTAAAGGGGACAGGTCTTAGGTGTAATGGATACGTCCTCTAGTAATTCCCGAAGCAGATTTCTCCTTGACATTTCCGCCTTTTGCAATGAGGAGAACTTTTCATGCAAAGCCCTGGTTGACTCAGGTGGGGCTGGTAACCTTATTGATTTATATTTTGTTAAGAAATACATTATACCAGTCAAGGAGAGATCCTCACTTCTAGCTGTTGAGGCTGTTGATGGGAGACCTCTATCTCAACCATTGATTACCCATGAGACCTTGCCTATTTGCATTATGATAGGAGTTTTGCATAAGGAAGACATTACTTTCCAGATACTCGCTTCCCCTTCTTGTCCCATCGTATTAGGGTTCCCTTGGCTCACCAAGCATAACCCGCATATTAACTGGACTAGAGGAGAAATACTGGAATGGGGTAGTGACTGTCAGGAAAGCTGCATGTTACCCATTTCTAAAAAAGTGGGCATCATTGCTTTACCCGCTGCTACGTCTCCAGCTCCCGAAATTCCCATACAGTATTGGGAGGTTAGGGAGGCATTTAGCAAAAGCCAGACTGATGTTCTTCCTCCACACAAGTTATGCGATTGCTCCATTGATCTGTTGCCCAGGGCTATGCCTCCTAAATGACCAGTATATGCCTTATCCCCACAAGAAAGTAAAATCATGGATGAGTACATCAAGGAATCTTTAAGTTAGGGCCATATACGTAAATCATCCTCGCCTGCTGGTGCAGGGTTCTTTTTTTTGTAGCTAAGAAAGATGGAGAATTACGACCTTGCATAGACTACAGGGCATTAAACAAGATTACTATAAAAAATGCCTATACCATTCCCCTTATATCCGAATTGTTTGATAGACTCCAGGGTGCTAAGATCTTCACTAAGCTTGACCTTAGGAGTACATGCAATTTGATGAGAATTAGGGAGGATCATGAATGGAAGACGGCATTTAACACGGAATATCTTGTTATGCCCTTCGGGTTATGTAATGCTCCGGCCGTATTTCAAGACTTCATTAATGATGTACTCAGAGACTATATTTACTCTTTTGTGCTTGTATACCTGGATGGTATCCTTATTTATTCCCCCGACATCCAAACTCATCATGATCATGTCAAACAAGTTTTACAAACTTTGCTTAAAAATGGTCTTTATTGTAAACTTGAGAAATGCATATTTGATCAACATGAGGTTCAGTTTTTGGGGTATAATATTTCTGCCTCTGGTTTCCAAATGGAACCTCGCAAACTAGAGGCCGTTCTACAATGGCCATTACCCAGTGTGTTAAAAGCCATACAGAGGTTTATTGGTTTCTCTAACTATTACAGGAGATTCATCAAAGGTTTCTCTTCGGTAATAGCCCCCATCACCAATATGACAAGCACGGGGGGGCTAATTGTACTATATGGCCTAAAGAAGCTAAAGAGGCTTTTGAGCTTCTTAAACAAATATTTGCATCTGCTGATATATTAAGACATCTTGACACTAGTAAATCTTTCCTACTGGAGGTTGATGCCTCCTAGACAGGGATTGGGGCTGTTCTTTCTCAGAGAGAGAGTCAGGATGTCCCTTTGCATCCTTGTGGTTACTTCTCCAGAAAGTTGTCTCCTGCCGAGCATAACTATGACATTGGTAATAGAGAACTGTTAGCCATCATACTAGCGCTTAAGGAATGGCGACATCTTTTTGAGGGTTCCAAGGATCCAATTCTGATTATTACTGATCACAAGAACCTGCCATATATTGGCGATGCCAAATGACTGTCTTCTAGACAAGCTACATGGTCATTATTTTTGTCTCGTTTTAACTTCATTATCACCTTCAGACCCGGTTCTAAGAACATTAAAGCTGATGCCTTGTCTAGACAATTTGACGTTGAATCAGATCTAGAACAAGAGACATTGTCAGGATCTGCTCTGCTCTGTTCTGATGTCTGACCATGGCTTCTGGTATCCAGTACTCTTTTTACAATTGTTGTTTAGTTTTTCATGGTTTTCTGGTTTTCTATTCTATGTCTGGTTTTCCTTATGCTGGGTTTTCTGGGTTCATTCCATTATTCCGTCCCTGGAATTCCCAGTCTCCTGGATTAATTTATATGTTTGTTTTATGTTGCTACACCCGTTTGTTTTCCAACATTCTTTTTGTTTCAGCCTGGACCTGCAGCAGTGTTTCAAGTCTCTGCCTTTTCTTGCAGGTAAGTGCTATTGTGGTTTAGTATGGTTCTTTTAGCGAACATTAGGCAGTGTAGGATCTGCCAGATATGGGGTACATTGGCGTTGTGGCAGGCTTATGCAATGTATGATCATATAATGTGACTAAATCCCCATACATTTCATATATAGTGCTTAGTTATGTCTCCTCTGGTTTTGCCTATTATATCTTGTCTTGTCTTGCTTTATTTTGTATCCCAGTCCATGTACAGTCCTGTCCTGCCCCTGTTTAGTTAATGTTCCTGTTAAGACACCTCCCGTGTCTTTAAGCCAAACCGCCGTTTAGTAAACCTTCCCCGGCTGCAGTACAGTCTCTGTTCGCTTACTCTGTAACCCACGAACCAAATGCAGGGGAAGCGGCAATCTCCCGATCGAAAGCCACGAACGGCTCCAAACTCCCGAACGGCAATATACGAACTGCTAGGAACCGTCGAACAATAATATCCCCAAAGCGGCTTCCGTTCCATCCAGCAGTCTCTAACCGTGAAGAAGAAATCCCCCCAATAACGAGACAGAAGCTCCGCATTGAGGGTCAAATAAGATCTGGTTTTACTGTGGGCTACCTGCCCGTATTTATGCAGGTCTCCCACCTGGTGGACACTCCCCTAGGGGACCAAATGGGAGACTTAAACTACAGACAGATAGAGGGACATTTCAGACACACAGTCACATATTTTACCCACAGTGCATTATGATTCCCTCCCCTCTGCCCTGGATTAACTCCAGGACAAGGACAGTCGCCATCTTAGACATAAAATAATAAAAGACATAAAAATACATAACTACATGAAAACTGAACATTTCCCATTCGTATCACATATATCCAGATAGCCTGGATCTGAGTGCATATTATTAGCGAATAGCGCTCAGATCCCACACACATAGTTCAATCGCCATGGAGTCAAAGTTCTTACAGTCTTTTGGTATACGAATGACTCCATGGGAGGGCTATCTGGGTTAAGTCTTTTGTATGCTCTCGATCTCCCGAACGGCCGGTGTTCGCATGCTTTCATGGAGGCAGCCAGGCGTTCCCTTGTTTCAGCGGTGTTCGGCAGAAAAAGTGTCCGTTTTCAGTTCCATAGAAATAGAGCCAAACACCGCTGGGCGTTCGCATGATTTAAAATGGCCGCTGCCTCGTGGTCGACATACGAACGACGACCACCCGGAGTTCGGTTTAATTGAGAAGTGTCTGCGGTTAACCACAACGTTATAATGGTGATCACTTCGTTAACCTGCAGCACACTCCTCACTTGGGTGGCCGTTCGTTCGGCGGTTTTGTTCAGGAAAAAGAGTCATTTGAATGGCTGGGCTATAGAAACCAGCCATTCATACGAACGGGGACAAACAGACGAACGGGCAAAAATCCAGCAGACAGATGGTTCTGTCACACGGCTCCCTCCTTGTGGGACACTCCGGCAGACCCGGCTTGACCCTGTGGCGGGTCAACTTGGGGATGACCGGACTACGAGGTGATGGAAACGTCTGTTTGTCGTGACAACCCATCTGCGTTTCCGTTTAGCTTACCGGGTCTGTAGCTGATGGTAAAATTGTAGGGCTGTATTGCCAAGCTCCATCTCAGCAGTCTCCCATTGTCTCCTGAGACCCGGTTAAGCCAAACGAGTGGGTTGTGATCAGTCACAAGGGAAAACTCTTGCCCATACAAATAGGGGCTTAACTTTTTCAATGCCCAGACCAAGGCCAAGCATTCCTTCTCCACTGCCGCATAACTCACTTCTCTGGGTAACAACTTTCTGCTGAGATATGCGACAGGGTGCTCTCCTCCATCTTCCCCGACTTGGCTCAGCACAGCCCCCAGTCCATACATGGAAGCATCTGTATGGACGAGAAAGCGTTTGTTAGGGACTGGGGCAGCCAAGACAGGGGCATTCACAAGAGCCTGCTTCAGTGCCTGGAACGCAGCTTCACAAGCCGGAGACCACAGGACCTGCTTAGGCAAGTTTTTCTTGGTCAGGTCTGTCAGGGGCTTAGCGATAGCGCTGTAGTCAGGGACAAAGCGTCTGTAGTACCCTGCCGTCCCCAAGAAGGCCAATACCTGGGTCTTAGTAGTAGGTGTGGGCCAGTTAGCCACTGCCTCTACCTTGGCTGGCTCCGGTCTCTGGCTCCCACACCCCACTCTGTGACCCAGGTACTGCACTTCAGCCATACCTAGATGACACTTTTCTGGCTTCAACGTCAGGCCAGCGGCCCTAATCTTATCCAGCACTACCCCTACATGTACCAGGTGTTCCTCCCAGGACCCACTGTAGATCGCAATGTCGTCCAAGTATGCACAGGCAAATTCTTGGAAGCCATCCAGGAGTCTATCCACCATCCGTTGGAAGGTAGCCGGTGCATTTTTCATCCCAAAAGGCATGACCTTAAATTGGTACAGGCCAAATGGGGTGACAAATGCCGACTTGGGGATAGCATCCTCGGCCAGGGGGATCTGCCAGTAGCCCTTACACAGGTCTATGGTGGTCAGATATCGCCCCCTGGCAATACGATCTAGTAATTCGTCTACCCGGGGCATTGGGTAGGCGTCAGTGGTGGTCCGCTCGTTGAGTCGCCTGTAGTCCACACAGAACCGGGTGGTCCCATCTTTCTTTGGCACCAGGACTACAGGCGAGGCCCAAGGGCTGTCGGAGTGCTCGATAACCCCAAGTTGGGTCATCTCCTGTATCTCCTTCCGCATTCCTTCACGGACTGCTTCAGGGATACGGTAGGGGGGCTGTCGTAACGGGGTCTGTCCAGGGGTCTCTACCTTATGCACAGCTAGGGTGGTATAACCTGGTTCCTGGGAGAACGTCGCCTGCTTCTCCCATAACAACTGCTGCGCCTGTACCCTTTCTGTGGGGTTCAACCGGTCCCCTAGCTGTACCAAGGTAGTAAGGTCAGTCTGGGAATCCCTTTCTAATAGATCTGGAAGGGGTAAATTCTCAGAATCATCTGCAGCTGGGGCACACACTGCTGCAATATTCTCAGGTCTCTCCTGGTACTCTTTCAGCATGTTCACATGAAAGGACCGCTGGATCCTCTCATCTGCACAGCTGGCTATCAAGTAAGTAGTGTCGCAGATCTGCGCCACTACCTTGTACGGGCCCTGCCAAGATGCTTGCATCTTGTTGGCCTTCACAGGTTTAAGCACCAATACCTTTTGCCCAACCTGGAAGACCAGCTGTCGGGCACCCTGATCGTACCATCTCTTCTGTCTCCCCTGGGCCGCCTGGAGATTCTCCCTTACCATCAGGGACAGTTTCTCCATGCGGTCCCGGAGTTCCAGAACATATGGCACTATGGGGGTCCCTTCCTGCTCCGTCTCCCCCTCCCAGTGGCCTCTAATGAGATCTAGGGGTCCGCGGACCCTTCTCCCATACAGCAGCTCAAAGGGGGAGAACCCAGTAGATTCCTGGGGCACCTCTCTATAAGAAAATAATAGATGAGGCAGGAATCTCTCCCAGTCTCTGCAAGTGTCTGTAAAGGTCCTCAGCATCTGTTTGAGGGTACCGTTAAAGCGCTCGCAGAGACCGTTAGTCTGTGGGTGGTAGGGTGAGCTAAGTAACGGCTTAATGCCGCACACCTTCCACAGTTGCTGGGTGAGCACAGCGGTGAATTGGGTTCCCTGGTCGGAGAGGATCTCCTTAGGGAACCCGACCCTAGTAAAAATTCTAACCAGGGCATCAGCAACCGTCTCTGCCTCTATGTTAGACAGCGCTACTGCCTCTGGATAGCGGGTGGCATAGTCCACCACGGTAAGAACATACTTCTTACCGGATGGACTAGCCCTGGCCAGTGGACCCACAATGTCAACGGCTATGCGGGCAAAGGGCTCCCCTATAATAGGCATCGATAATAGCCTAGCCTTAGGGTGGTCCCCCCGCTTTCCTACCCGTTGACATGTGTCACACGTGCTGCAGTACATCCGCACAGCCTGGTTAAAGTTTGGCCAAAAGAAGTTCTGTGAAATCCTATAGGCTGTGCGGCGGGACCCTAGATGTCCAGCTAAAGGAACATCATGCCCTATCCGCAGAATCTCCTGCCGGTACTTTGCAGGTACCACTAACTGGCGATTCGGCGGAGAGGCAACACTCTTCTGGGAAGGTTTAGGGATCCTATATAACCTGTCCCCCACCCACTCATACCGTTCCCCATCTATTCCTTCCTCCCCAGCCTCTGCCCTGTCCTTGTATCTTTGGAGGGTCGGATCCGCCCGGGTTTCCCTCCCAAACTCCTCTGGGGAATCCCAGCTTAAGGGACCTGATCTGGGGTATCAGTCGGGGAAGGAGATCTTACCTGGGTCTCGTCAGCAAGTGGGCTGGTTCCGGCAGCACGGGTCTGGGCACGGGTGGTCACTGGGTTCACGTCTGCAGGGCCCATCGGAGCATAGGCTGAAACCAAAGGGGCCAAATCGTTTCCCAAAAGAACATCTGCGGGCAAGTCCTTCATCACCCCCACATCCACATGCCTAGCGCCCACTCCCCAATCCAAATGTACTCGGGCAACAGGTAAGCGAAACACGGCACCCCCTGCTACCCTTACTGCCACAGTGTCTCCAGTGTGTTGATGCTCTGAGACCAAGTTCTTTTGGAGCAGTGTCATCGTGGCTCCTGTGTCTCTCAGCCCATTCACCACTCTGCCATTTAGCTTCACAGTTTGCCGATGTTGCTGGCGATTATCCTGGTGAGCTGCTTGCACTGGGTCTGCCTCGTGCAGAATGCCCCAAAATTCCTCCTGCTCTAGGCAGTGAGCAGCAGGCTGAGGTGGGCGCTGGTTTCCGTTAACTGGTCTCCTCCAGGACTGAGCCTGGTTGGCACTGTTCAGGGGGCACTCAGGACGCTTGTGCCCCAACTGCTTGCACCCATAGCACCGGATGGGTTGGGAGTACTCCCGGGCATTAAATCGGGCTGGTTGCATATAATTGTTAGCTGGTGGTGCAGCTGGGGTACGGTGTACTGGGGGTTGGTAGACTGCAGGAGCGGGTGTTACTGCTGGTCGATACTCCAGTCTGGCAGGGGCTTTAGCAGCTGTACCATCCAACTTGCGGGCATCCGTGTATTCGTCTGCCAGACGGGCAGCCTCGGGTAGGGTAGAGGGTTTTCTGTCTCTGACCCATTCCCGGACCCCAGCAGGTAGTCTATCAAAGCAGTGCTCCAGCAGGAACACTTGTAACACCTCCTCCCCAGTTACCGCTTGGCATCCAGCCATCCAGTGGGCTGCGGTACGATGGACTCTGCAGGCCCATTCCACATAAGAGTCCCCAACCAGCTTGTTGGTTTCTCTAAACCTCCGCCTGTACGCCTCTGGGGTCACTGCATACCTGGCTAGGAGCGCCTCTTTCACAGCCCGGTAGCTGGTGATCTCCTCCTCTGGGATGGCCCGAAAAGCTTCACTAGCCCGGCCAGATAATTTCCCAGAGAGGATGGTGACCCATTCATCTGCAGGTACCTGATGTAGCGCACACTGCCTCTCAAAGTCTGCCAAAAATCCATCAATCTCTCCCTCTGTTTCCACAAAATTTTTAAACGCAGCAAAAGGTACCTTTTTTCTAGCAACCACATTATTGTCATACGGTACCTCTGCTGCTGCAGCTCCTCTTTCCCGGGCTGCCTGTTGTGTTGCAACTGCTGCCTGCACACGAACCACGATGTCAGCTGAGGGGTTGGGGCCAAAATGTGCCAGCCTTATTTGTACTGCCCGGTTGAATCGTATTTCCTCGGGTGTTAAATCCAAGGTACTGGGCACGTTGACTCTTTCCATTCCCGTTGCTGCATCCATCTCCATTAGCAAAGCAATAATCTCCCGTTTCTTTAAATTGCTTGCTGACCTTCCTCGGCGTTCCAATATGTCCTTAAGTGTAGCACGCCTTAATTCCTCGTACTGCATGTCTCGTAGCTGACCTCCAATGCTGTAGGATTCATCCCGTCGCTTGCCACCAATTGTTAAGACACCTCCCGTGTCTTTAAGCCAAACCGCCGTTTAGTAAACCTTCCCCGGCTGCAGTACAGTCTCTGTTCGCTTACTCTGTAACCCACGAACCAAATGCAGGGGAAGCGGCAATCTCCCGATCGAAATCCACGAACGGCTCCAAACTCCCGAACGGCAATATACGAACTGCTAGGAACCGTCGAACAATAATATCCCCAAAGCGGCTTTCGTTCCATCCAGCAGTCTCTAAACGTGAAGAAGAAATCCCCCCAATAACGAGACAGAAGCTCCGCATTGAGGGTCAAATAAGATCTGGGTTTACTGTGGGCTACCTGCCCGTAT